ATTCGTCCTCCTATGCAAATTCAAGAGCTCAGTTTGGTGTTTTCTATTTTTGACATTTTGCCTTTTGAAAAATGAGAAGCCAATATGCAGCCCATCAACTGCTAAATTTACCTCTTGTACTAATACAGATTGAGTCTGGCTGTCCTAAGCTCCACATTTTCTAGCACCCTATATTTAGCAATGATGTAAACTTGCCATGTACTGACTCTGACTGTCCCAAGCTAGTGTGACCTTTTTGTTGTACAATTTTATCTGCTTTTGTTTTTTTCTATGAAGAACATTTCATTCAATTGGTATATCGAGATATATCGAGATGATACAACCGCATGGAAAGAATGCCCGGCCTCTGCATAGCGCGATGCACACACCCAACAAGTCTAGCAAGCCTGAAAATAAATACCTTTTTACATCAAAATTAAATCAGTCCCGCCTAGGGTGGGGAAAATCCTATCCGGAGATTACACCGCCATCCATGTTGGGAGAAAACCTCCCTGCCTGTATGCTCCAGCCATGTAGACGCCATCATAAAAAGGTCTCTGTCATTCGGCCTTTGCAGGATAGACCATGTACAGAGCCATCGCATACACGCATGAATAACCTGCACAGGAGATAAAACACATTTATTGTTAAAAATCACATCATTTCTGGTAAGCTGCATTGCCCAACATAAGGCAGCTGCCCCCACGAGTAGATGTGCATAAAATTGTTTACCGATACCCCGCAGCCAATTGCCGAACATGTTACGTGCACTATGTGAGGATATAGATTTGAAGCTACTTGAACTATGGCCCAGACTGCACGAGCAAACTTACACTCAAAAAATAAGTGTTTGATGGACTCGTCATGTTGGCAAAAGACACATGTCTTCTACCTTGCCAGTTGCGTCGTGCCAGGTTATCTCTAGTTAAGATGACCCCTCTGTTTAGAAACCAGAGGAATATCTTCACTCTTAAGGGAATTTTGAGCTTCCACAATTTCTTGTTATCAACCGAAACATTAGTGTGAACCGTTGCATCATACAAGGATTTGACTGAAAAGCTACGGTTCTGGTGCAAATTCGATCGGAACTTGTCTGGTTCACCTGACAGTTGAATGGCCTCAGACGGATGAGTAATTCATTCCATGCTACCAGGCGAGGCCGAAAAAGGTCCTTGCGAAAAGAAATATCAGGGTTTTCTTGTCTCAATTCTTGTTTGATCGTGATGAATTTGTGTCTGACGATCCTATACAAGCTAGGGTATTGCACCATAAGTGGAGTGGCCCCCTACCATGTGTCTTCCCAGAATCGAACCTGAGAACCATCCCTAACCGAGAAAGTACCAAATTGGAAAAAGAATTTCTTGGCCTTCATCACGCCACTCCAAAAATGTGAATCACCGGGTTTCCAACGAACTTGAGAAATGGCTTTAGACCCCACGTATTTGTTACGAATGATTTCCTGCCACACTCCATTCTCAGTGAGTAGTTTGTATACCCATTTACTCAGGATATCGATGTTTTTAATCTCAAGATCCTGAATTCCCAGGCCTCCTTGACTTTTGGGTCGGCATAATATACCCCACCTAGCCAGCCGATATTTCTTGGATTCATTATCACACTGCCAAAATAATCTAGATCTAAAATAATCGAGACGCTGTAGAACCCCTTTTGGTAAGTGAAAGAACGACAACATGTATAGAACCATGTTGCTGAGGACGGGATTGATTAGAATCAACCGTCCCCCATACGACAAGAGTTTGGCCTTCCAACTGGGTAGGCGTTTCTCAAGTCTTTCTTCCACGTGCTTCCACTCAGCGATAGTTAAACGCCGATAGTGAATCGGTATACCTAGATACCCAATCGGGAACTGCCCGAGCTGACAGCCGAAAATCTCAGCATACTCAGATGTGGACTCTGCAGCATCGCCGAAGCAGAAAAGCTTGCTCTTATGGAAGTTAATTTTGAGGCCAGAGAGCTCCTCAAATGCACATAAAAGTAATTTGAGGTTTCTTGCCTTATCTAGGTCATGATCCAGAAAAGTATAGTGTCATCCGTATATTGTAGAATAGACAGGCCTTCTTCTACCAAATGAGGAAACACGCCGCTAATTTGACCTGCCACATTAGCCCGCTCAACAAGGGTAGCTAACATATCAGCTACAATGTTGAACAAAATAGGGGGCAAGCCCCTTCCTAGTCTGAAAGTAATTGCCAACATCATTGTTGACTTTGATAGCCACACTACCTCCAGAAACAAAACTCACTACCCATCGACACCATTTTGGTGAAACCCTCTTCGTGCACAAAGTTTGTGACAGAAAGGGCCATTATACTTTGTCATATGCTTTTTCGAAATCTATTTTGAAGATGACTCCATTCAACTTTTTACGGTGAAGCTCATGTACAGTTTCATGCAGCGCAACAACTCCATCTACTATGTTGCGTCCTTGCATAAACGTTGTTTGAGTGGGTCTGACCACGTGGTCAGCTACCCCGCTCAACCTATTAGTTGCCACCTTTGTTAATATCTTAAAGCTGACATTTAGAAGGCAAATCGGTCTGTATTGTTGAATACGACTAGAGTCCTTAGTCTTGGGTAGAAGAATAATTTCCCCAAAGTTTAAACGGGTAATATCAAGGTTTTCGCCATGCAGTTGGTTAAACAACTGAAACAAATCCGCCTTAATCATATCCCAAAAACATTGATAAAACTTTGCCGGAAAACCGTCCGGTCCCGGAGCCTTGTTGTGTTCCATTTGAAACACCGCGGTCCGAATTTCCTTTTCAGAGAACGGAGAGGTTAAAAACTCATTTTCTGCCCCCGAAACTTGAGGTATGTCATGAGTAATAGACTCATCGAGCGCAAAGGGGCTTTCAGGTGAAGGTCCAAAAAGCTCTTTGTAGTACTTAGTAATGAAATTTCTGAGCGGTGCATCCCCCTTTATACAGCCTTCGTCTTGGTCAAGAGAGAAAATATGTTTCTTTCTATATCTGCCATTGGCCAACATTTGGAAGTACTTCGTGTTATCATCACCTTGAACAAGCGAGTCGGCCTTGCAACGTTGGGTACCATTTATCTGCTTTTGTATTATGATGGAAAGATTGTGATGTTCTCTAATGTTATTACAGTGCTAAAGAAGTTGTGTCCAGAGCAATTTGGTGCAGTCACAAAACAAGAACACCAAAATAGTGACTTGCAAAGTTGTTTTTTCCCACAGTTAATAGTATACGATTTATAAATGTTGAGCTTTCCAACTAACTGAAGAGTTTCAGCACAAGAGTTGTTTACCGTTAAATGTCCATCTGCTGTAAGGCACCAACAAGTTACCTGAAATCCGACAAGCAACAGGTCCTGTCAAAATTGCTGAAGCTTCTCCCATGTGGCCACAGTTCATAGACACGTCATCAGACAGCAATACACTAGCTAGCACATGTTAGCATGTTAGTCATTCAAACCTTAAGCGTTTCTTAAAATAGACTAACGAGATTAACTCATGTTTTCTTGTGCCTCGGCAGGTGAAGATGTGCATGGCTGAGGTTACAACAATCACTTTTTAAGTCTAGTGTTTAGATTGTGCGTAAACAAATTATTTAGTCCCGGCTAATTTGGCGTGGATCTGATTGACAAATCTTGTTACTCCTCTGAAGATGGTGCTGTTTTGGTCCCGATATTCACTTATCAGCTGTGGAATCAAATAGGCATGGTACCATGCCAAATGCCCTCACTGCCGAGGCTTTTGTTTGTTAGGACGCAGTTCTGCTTTGCTGAAGATTCAGATTGGGGACTTCATTGTGGAGTCTGACTGTATAGAGCTGGTAAATCCCGAAAATAAGGACGGCGAACCATGCTGCAATTCTTCCTCCTATGCAAATTCAGGAGCTTAGTATGGTGTTTTCTGTTTTCGACATTTTCCCTTTTGAAAAATGAGAAGCCAATATGCCACCCATCAACTGCTAAATTTACCTCTTGTACTCGTCCAGATTGTGTATGGCTGTCCCAAGCTCCATATTTTCTAGCACCCTATACTTAGCACTGCCGTAAACTTGCCATGTACTGACTCTGACTGTCCCAAGCTACTGTGACCTTTTTGCTGTACAATTTATCTGCTCTTGTACTGTGATTGAAAGATTGTGATGTTCCCCAATGTTATTACAGGGAATCCACGAAAGAAAGTGTGTCCAGAGCACTTTGGTATAGTCACAAAACAAGAGCACCAAAACAGTGACTTGTAAAGTTGTTGTTTTTTCCCACAGTTTATAGTACACGATTTATGAATGTTGAGCTTTCCAACTAACTGAAGAGTTTCAGCACAAGAGCTGTTTGCTGTTAAATGTCCATCTGCGGTAAGGTACCAACAACTTACCTGAAATCCGACAAGCAAAAGGTCCTGTCAAAATTGCTGAAGCTTCTCTCATGTGGCCAGTTCATAGACACATCAGCACTACACTAGCTAGCAGATGTTACTCGCGTTCCCTAAACTGTATATACTGCGTGATATTTGTGGCAGTTCAGATGTCGTCCCCGAATCCAAAACACAGCGGTGCTACATTTACACGCTCGCTGGCGGCAATGGCGTCTTCGCTGGCGCAGGCATTTCACAGGAGCGGAGGGTTGCTGGCGCTTTAACGGCGCCAAAATTAGGCTCTTAATAACTAAATTTATTGACACTTAAATGAACACACTGAATTGTAGCCTGCCTGGCTCTCTGTATGACTGACAACAAACATAACAAGAGGATCAAAGAGAACAAAATATCATGCTACGAAGACTAGTACGTACAATTATTATTAGCTTCGGTTCTCGCGGCATCTTCAGACTCCAGTGCTAAGCTCCAAGACTCGCAACATCGCGTCAACGATGGACTTCAGTTGCTCATACCGATCGATGCTTCCGACTCTGTGTGCCAACGTAGGCGCCTGCCTGCGACAAAGTTGCTTCGATTGAGTAGTCTTGTGCGTGTCTCGCTTTTGAACTTCAGAAATCTCTGCACATTTCTTCACTGAAGATGGCCGAAATAATCCTTAGTTTCCACGTAGAGAAGATGAATCGAAACCTTGCTGCTCCGCAGCCACAAGGTCCTTATCTGCTCGTGCGCCAATGGTTCCCGCCACAACCTGGTCAACAAACGCCTGTACGTGGCGGTCCGACGACCCGCCGGCCGCCACGGCCGTCCTCGCCGCCGCGCACCACGCCCTGGCCTTCTCGAGCATCGCGCCGGCGTCCGGCCCGGCCACGACGTCCTCCACGGCGTCGCGCACGGCGTCCCTCCGCAGCGGCGTGCCGATGCGCACCCCCATCTTGAACTCCTCCACGAGGTACTTGGCGTCCGTGCACTGGTCGCCCCACTGCGGGAACGCCACCACGGGAAGCCCCGCCGCGAGCGTCTCCAGCGTGGAGTTCCAGCCGCAGTGCGTGAGGAAGCACGCCGTGGACGGGTGCGCCAGCACCAGGTCCTGCGGGCTCCACGGCACCACCATGCCGCGCCCGGCGACGGAGTCCAGGTACCCCTCGGGAAGCATCGCGCTGCAGTCCGGCCGAACCACCCACAGGAAGGGGCGGCCGGTGGACGCGAGCCCGTGCGCCATCTCGGCCAGCTCCTCGGCGGACAGCACCACGACGCTGCCGAGCGACGCGTACACGACGGAGCGCGGCGCCTGCGCGTCCAGCCACCCCACGCAGTCGTCCGCCGACTTGATCATGTCGCCCCGCACGGCGCCCTCCTCCTCCAGCTCCACGAGCGGGCCCACGGGGATGAGCGGCGGCGGCGGCGGCGAGATGCCCGGGAGCGCGTCCACCACCTCGGGCTCCAGCTCGTAGAAGGAGTTGACGAACACCCACGACGCCTTGTGGATGGTGCGGAACTGCTTCAGTATCGCGTCGGTGAGGAGCTTGTAGGGGTTGGACGGCAGCAGGAACGACGGCACGTCGGCGACGGACAGCGGCGGGAGGCCCGGGAGGTTGACCCGGGCGTCGAGGTCGTCCTCGGGCGGGAACTCCACGAGCCCGTGCACGTGGTGGTAGTAGAGCGAGAACACGGCGCACGACTGCACCCACAGCACCGCCGTGGGGATGCCGGCATCGTGGGCGACGTCGATCGCCCACGGGAGGAACGGGTTCCCGACGATGCACGTCACCGGCCGGCCCGCCTCCTCCTGGCGCCTCAGCAGCTCCGCGAACACCACGGGGCCGGTCGTCTCCAGGTGCCTCATCAGGTCGTCGAGGTCATTCCCGTCGAAATCGTCGTCCAAGAACTCGAACCGGATCCTTCCGCGGCCGAGCGGCACGCCGTCGCCGCCGGCCTCCACCCCGGAGGAGGCCGTGATCTTGCCTCCAACGTAGGAGGTGGAGGAGAAGGTGACGAGGAGGCCCTTGGCCGCGAAGCGCTTGGCGAGGCGGAGCATGGGGTTGACGTGGCCCTGGCCCGGGAAGCATATGAGGAGCAGGTGGGGCGCCGGCGACGTCGTCGCCGCCGCGGTGACCGCGACCGGAGCCTCCTCGCCCATGGCTGCCCGGCTGTGATCGATCTCCCGCGGGGGAAGAAAATAAATGTCGTCTTCTCTTCTTGCCCGATCCTGAGCTGGCCGATGCAGTGTGTGCGATAGCTGGGACTGATACGATGTGGGCCGACTTGTACTACTCTGTAGCTACCGCATTTATACGGAAATTGGTTCGGCGGTGACGTGTGCGATGCGGTCCGACGTGCCGTGACACACACACTGGGTGTCCTCGTCGTCTGCGGGTGCATCAGTTTTGTGCCGTCTGGGCGAAGCAGGAGGGGCCAAGTTGACCTCTGGCTCTCCCAACGTATGTATGGTGGTAATTATTTTCCTTTTACGAGATGCTGTACAGCAAGAATTTGACCTGGATAAAATAACACTCCTTTTTTTTTGCGAGGGAGATAAAATAACACTCCGGGGAGACAGCTCGGTGCGTGTGACGGCATAAAATACGTATGGCTGATCGGGTGGGGTGATGCAATCTATGGCTGTAACCTAAAATATATGGCTTAATAAGAAGTCAGACCTAGGAGCGAGGTTAGAACGAGTACATTACGATTTTGGACGTTGAGCGAGCGCAATTCAAAATGGGGACAACCCATCCATCAATGGATATCATGGTTTATCATTTTGTGGGAAGTTGGGGCTATCAAGTCGGCTGCGCACGTTACTTGTGCACCACATGTTGGTTACCCTGTTTTGCGCCACATTTTGAGTGCCCTTACGCGGGCTTTCCTTTTTTGCGAGGGCATGCGCGTGAACCATTGGCTTTTGTATGATACACAAGCTACCACCAGCACCAGCAATTTTGCGTCGTAGGAATACGATCCGAAAATGACTTGTGTCGGTTTAGCCGCTCCCAAGAAATACATGAGTATGCATGTGATGCATCTTTGCCAGAATAAATCGGCCCAACAGATCTTTTGTGTGCCGGCACTCGTCTCCTGTGTGGATGCGGTGGGCATATGGCCACGTGGTCGCACTTGTTCACCGATAGTAACTCGCACCCGCGCTACTGCGGCTGCGGGGGAGCTGCACCCCAAAAGAGAACACGAGACCTATACTCGTAAAAAATATACTACGTACTACAGTACATGTACATGGCTAGCTTTGCCCGCTTCTTGCACAAGCCAAGTGCACAAATCCGGGGATCGCTCTCGCTCTGCTTTGCGGCCATGCGGGTCCATCTCGTGGTGAGCCCAGCAATGACGCACACCCACCCCCAGGGCTTTGGCCGGTAGCCACTGAGGTACTCTACCTCTTCGTAGGTTCCTTGGCCGGTCCGAGGACTCCTCGCCGAGGTACCTGACCTGCCTCACGCTTCGTCGCGGTACATGCTTGTCCGTTTCGGCAGCGACGACGGCTACGAGCTCGCGTGCCGATTCTGGAACGCACCGCACGCGGTACATGCCACACACACCGGGAGTTTTGCTTGCCGTCTGGGCGAAGCAGGAGGGGCCACGTTGGCCTCTGTGGCTCTCCCCGCGGAGTATGGTGGTGTGGCACACATATTCATTGTACAGAAACAAGATTTTTGCTCGGGGGACAACTCGGTGCATGTGACAGATAAAATATGGCTTATCGGGGCATCTAATGGTAGCTGTAACGCAAATTAAGAAGGCAGACCTAGGGAACATTGGGCGTTGACTGTGATTCCAACAAAATAAAAGGGGACGCCTAAGGCCTCCTTTGGTTCATAGGATTGGAAAATCATAGGAATAGGAAAGTCATAGGAAATGAGATGACATGCATCTCAAATCCTATGCATAGGAATAGAAAAAGAGATGCCCTTTGATTCACACCATAGGATTTTTTCCATTGAGTCTAGGCTAATGTTTGTTTTTCTATGAAATGTGGAGGATAGGAAGAATTCCTCCATAGGAATAGGATTTCATTCCTACAAACCAAAGAGCTCTGAAGGAATTTTTCCTATAGAAATCCTATCCTATGAAAATCCTATAAAATTCCTCCAAACCAAAGGAGGCCTAAAATGGGCATTGGGCTTTGGCTCCTCGCTCAAACTCCTGGGGAGCACTTTGGCAAGTGACTTCGGGCATCTTCAACGACAACCAGCAAAAAAATTCGGCATTCCTCCACACACATGAATACGGGAGGTCACCATCCAATGATAACCGTACACATTTTGACAACATTTCAACTAACCGGGCGGAATTCAGTCAAAGACGGCCGGATTTCATATAAACATAACGAATTTTATACAAATATAGTGAAATTTCATTATTTCGAACGTCTAGAATAAAAAAAATAAAGACTCAACCCTAAACCTATCCTACAGCGGTGGCATCCGTCGTCCAAGCCCGTGTCGTCCTCCATCCGTCGTTTTTATGACCACTTGCGATAAGACCGATGAAGTAAAGGTGTGTCCTCCGACAAGAAAAAGTAGAACATCGGAGACGGACCGGCCCACATGGGACACAAGGCACCGCCGCCTCCCGTGACCTACTCATCCTCGAAGGCAGGGTCGGGCCCGCAAAATCCGTGGCCCTATGCGAAACTAAAAAATGAGCCCTATCTCACAAAAATACACTAGGGAGCAATTATAATGTACTTCCTCTGTAAAAAAATATAAAAGCATTTAGATCATTACTTTTGTAATCAAAACACTCTTACTCCTATGTTTCTTTATGAAGGGAGTATATGATATAGTGTCTACTACGTAACAATTGGATATATAAAAAATCGTACCTATTTAACAGGTACTCCCGGTCGCATAACATTTATTTGAACAACAATCTCTTCCTCATGATGGCTCTGTATTGAAACACAAAATACAAAAGGTAAATAAAATAAAATTGAAGTGATACAACAGCAGTCAGCAGATATCAGTGTCAATATTTGGCAATTAGACAAACCGTCTAACTCACCTAGTCTTGTGTCCTGTCCGGATGAACTGCTATATTATGATCTTTAATCAAGAAGGTAAGAACCGATCTCTAACAAAGTAAGGATCCTTGCCAAAAGTCAATTAGGATTAGGGAGTACTTCCTTCATTTCAAAATAAGTATCTTAAATTTAATACAAATTTGTATTAAATTTAGGACACTTATTTTAGAACGAAGGAAATAGAAGTATAAGTCTGTAAGAGCAAAGTTAATCAGAAGGACAAACTAGCGGCAGCCCACAGGAGCAGTTAAACACTTAAACTAGGGCCTGGACCATGCAAGTATTTATGAATTGTTTAGCTCCTGCCGGTATCAAATAAAGACAGAGATAATCCTCCACAATGGATCCTACACATGATCTCACATCACTAGCGCGGCGAGAGGAACATGTCATGTTGATCTACCTGTCTTGGCAGATGGCGAGAGAAACATGTTCATCAGAGTTTTAGATGAAGTTAATCGAAACTTGGAAGGTTCGTTGCTCCGCATGTCGTCGTGTTGCCCGCCGCTGGCTCTGGATGCGATGCGATAGATTTTGTTCTGATCTGGATGCGCCATTCTCGCCTGCCCATTTCCTTTGGATGTGATCGATCCTATGGTTTCTGATCGAGGTATCGCATCGAGCAGCGGCATCACGCCGAGTCGCGTGGACGCGACACGCACCAGTGGCCCTGCCATGCGCGACCCAGTGCCCACGAGAAAATATACATAGGCCGGGAGCAACTAGTTAACGAGCGCTCCTTCGGAAACCTCGTAACGATCATCGTTAGTTGGCGCGCTCTCAGCCATTCGCCACGTGTCGCACTCTGGACGCTTCCTTCGAATTTTTTTTATTTTATTTTTCCGCACGCGTTTTCGGTTTTTGAAACGGTTTTTTTCCCGGGTTTTTTCGACATTTTGGTTTTTCCCCGGTCTTTCTTAGCTTTTCGATCAAAAAACTGAAATCTTTTTTTCGCGAAAAAACGTGTTTTTTTTCCTTTCACGAAAGTCACGGTTTTTCTTCCGCGAGAGGCACGGTTGTGCTTCAGCGAGAGTCACGGCCGTGCCTTTCGGAAACGAAAAAAAAACGCGTTTTCTGTTTTTTTTTCTTTCGTGAGAGTCACGGTTTTGTTTCCGCGAGAGGCACGGTTGTGCTTTCACGAGAGTCACGGTCGTGCCTCTCGAAAAGGGAAAAATAAAACGTGTTTTCTGTTTTTTTTTCTTTCGTGAGAGTCACGATTTTCCTTCCGCGAGAGACACGGTTGTGCTTACGCGAAAGTCATGGCCGTGCCTCTCGGAAAGGGAAAAAATACGCGTTTCTATTTTTTTTTCTTTCGCGAGAGTCACGGTTTTGCTTTCGCGAGAGGCACGGTTGTGCTTTCGCGAGAGTCATGGCCGTGCCTCTCGGAAATGGAAAAAAATCGCGTTTTCTGTTTTTTTCCTTACACGAGAGTCACAGTTTTGCTTTCACGAGAGGCACGGTTGTGATTTTGCAAGAGGCACGGGCGTGCCTCTTTCGGAAAGGGAAAAAAACCGGGCTCCCGATTCGGTTTTTTTGCCTGGTTTTTTTCGTCTGGTTTTTTTGTGAAAAAAAAGTTCGTCAAAACCTATCAACATGGATCTAGTTTTGAAGATCTCGACGCGAGGAATCCAATGGTGAAAACGGTTCGAGATTTGGACGCACGGTTTAAGAGATAAAACGTTTTGAATAAACGGATCTACGAAAAAAAGGAAAACTCCCAGGTTGCGACAAGTGGCGCGCTGCATGTGCGCCACTTGTCGCGACCTGGGAAAGTGGAGTGTTCTTTGCAACGAGTACTTCATAATTAGTGATTTCGACATAGGCTTAGATAAAAATTTGGGGCCACTAAATTTTATGGGCCCTGTGCGGGCCGCACACTTTGCACAACTATGGACCCGACCCTGTTCGGAGGAGTCCGCGACCTGTCCGTCGCTAGTGGCCGTGAGGTCCACGATGAAAATGATGACGCCGACGCTATCTTCGTTCCACCGGGCCGGCTAATGGTCGGCGGCGGCGCATAGGAGGCGCAGCTGGCGTTGTTCTTCTCAGTGATCGCCTGCAGTTGCGCCTCTGCGGCGATCGCTTCGTGCCGAGCGGTGGCT